AAGAATGTGATAGGTTTTTAGGGAGGTCAAAAATCACAGTCTTTCTTCCTCTTTTTCTACTTATGTCCTGCTTTACCAGAAGTATAATAGTTAATAAAAAAATTGGTAGTTTTTATTCATTGGGGGAGTTTTGAGTAAACTGAATTTTAAGAAAAGAAAGTGTATGCAACAATATAATAGCTGGAAGTAATTTCATTAAAAAGTTAAATTAGTGAAATTGTAATATGCTGATTTGTGTGTACTCTTGTGTTGGAATGTTTTAGTTTGAATTAAAATATGTCTTAAATAAAGTTAACGTGTCAGTGTAATACATGTACTTTTTAGATCATTATGAACAGAATATCTTTATTGCATGTCAGGTTTTAGTAACTAAGCACTATGTGTTGACATTTGTTTATTTAGAGTAAATTTGAACTCAAATTGAAATGCATGAAAATCTGTGAGTCTTTATTATGGACCAAGCTGAAAATTTATATGAAAAACAGTAGGTTATCTATTCCCCCTAAGATAAAATCAATTGCATATATTCTTGATGTTGTTAAGGAAAAAAGTTTGTGCCTGTAAATTTCATTGTGTTTTTTTTCACTACATGGAAATTAAAATATACACATATGTTTTTATACACATGCATTTTGAATAAATAAATCTCAGGTTGTCCCAGTATTCTACTCCTTTTATTACTATTTTTTTATTTCAACAAGCAGCTGCTTTGGTGGAAGACATTTATTTGATCAATCATAGCGTTATAAATATAACCATGATAACTTACTCTTGTAATTGTTGTTATTATTGGATTATATCCTTCTTGAACTCCATCTGTTCTAATTCATATAGCATGATCTCTGTAACTTATACCCCTGTATTAAAAATTTCTTGACTTAGTGTGAATATGCATAATAACATAGTATTTGAAGCTGGAAGAGAACTGATAGGCATACTTTAGACATGCAGCACTTTAGAGTTTTATTCCTAAAAAATGCCTCAGTTGCTTTATAAATTTTATTAAACTCACACTGGAATTATAGTATACAGAAAGACATGCTTTATATAATAAAAATAATTTTTTTCGTTTGGTGATGAAACATATTTTGTTTATATATCCTTCCCCCCAATTTGCACATTCTTCCGTTTTTTTACCAACTGCACCTCAGCTTTTCACCTCTTATTCACAGAATGATGCCTTTCTGTCATACTCATTCCAGACATTGCTTTTTAAAGAGCAGCTGTTACAGCTCATGTCAGTATACTGCATTATTCAACCCTATCATTTCACAGTTATTCCTTATTCTTCTCATTGCACAATTACTCTACGATGCCTCTGTAGGACTGAGTTTGATTTTATTTGCCAAAAGGTCTCTACATCAGCATCACACAACTAAATACATATTCTTTCCTTCACAAAATCTTATTTGTTACCAGATTTTTGCCCATATTACGGAAACCTGTGGTTTCTTTGTGGTTTTGGTATCCCTAACTATTGTTTGAAAAAAATTAAATATTTATCACAAAAAACCCCGAACAATAAAATGTGATATAGAATTTTTAACTAAAACTCGTGTTAGAATATACTACTTAAGTATTTATTTAGCCTGAAAGAGCTGTGTGAAACATTCCTAGAAAGCCCTGTTCTGTGGTACAGTGGCAGGGTGTTCCAGAGAAATGAAGAGTGACTGGTAGCATGTGAGAAAGCCCTGAATTCAAGCAGTGTTTCCATTGTGCAGAAAGTCTTCCAGGGTAGGTGGAACCGTATGGAATTGTCACACTGAACAGGCTGTTTTGTCATTTGCCTGTATTTAATTGGAGAAACAAGTTGATAGTGACCATCTGGTTCTTGACAATTTCTACGAGGTGGAATTCTTACTAAATTTCCAGTCAAGTTGCACGCCGTAAGTCGCAACAAGAATATGTTTTAAGCTACATGTGCTGGGCAATAAAGCAGAAATTCACAAGTTATTTTCCAGAAATAAAGCACAGCAGCTGTCGTAAAATAAATGCATAATTATTCAAGGTATATCTATTTGAGATACATTGCTCGTTTCTCTTATTGTGGAAAGGCAGAAAAACGTGCCATGCACTGTTGGATTTTAGATAACACCTTTTTTCATATTCAGCTGTTTATGTGCCTTTCTATTACAAATTGAGATTGACATAAATTATTATAGGATAAGTGGTAAGTGCTCAGTGCTCAGTGAATTCTTCTGGGAATATGTCAAAGAAGTAGATGAGTTTCACAAATACGTGAGAATGAGACATCCAGGTAGAATAATTCCTTTTGAATTGATTCCTTTGATTCCTTTCTAATATGTACATTAGAAAGAAAAAAAGTTGAAAAATGTGGTTAGCAGAAGCAAACTATACAAAGGCAGGTGTATCATCCATCCAGCAGAAATGTACATTTATTTTTTTTTTTTTTTGCTTCTGAATTGAAATTTGTGAAGACTTATTCAGACCCTGGGGTGTTATTAAAGTAGTGTGTCTGCTGGTGTTTGTCTCTAGTGCTTCTAACTATTAATCACATGGTCTCATTCCTGGTGATTTGTGACACCTGCCACCTCTTACCAGAGGATCAGAGTTGAAAATATGAGGCATATGAAAGAGATGAGAAATTTTACCCCATCCAGCTCTGGAGTCTTCAGCACGGGAAAGACATGGACCATGAAGCAGATCCAGAGGAGGGGCAAAAAAAAAATGGTCAGAGGGATGGAGCAGAACCTTTCCTATAAGGAAAGGCTGAGAAAGGATTTTTCAGCTTGGAGAAGAGAAGCCTCCATGGAGACCTTAATGTTTAAAGGGAGTCTGTAAGAAAGCCTGCATCAATGGAAAAAGGGGTAATGATTTTAAACTAAAAGAGGGTAGAGGTAGACTACATAAAAGGAGGAAAATGTTACAAAAGGGGTAGTGAAACACTGGGGCAGTTTGCTATAGGTGTCCCACCCCTGGAAACATCAAAGGTCAGGTTAGATGGGGCTCTGTGCAACCTGACCTGGTGGAAGGTGTCCCTGCTTATGTCAGGGCAGTAGGACCTTTAAAATCCCTTCCAACCCAGACTATTCTGTGGTTTCATGATTGCATATCATGTAAGTAGATTTTGAAGAAAATACCTTTTTATTTTCTCCTCTTAATATTCATCTTGGTATCTAGGCTTACAATGTGGGTTTTGGCAGTAGAAAAAGGATCAGTGGCACATAAAATGTTCTCTTGCCTCAGTAGCGTGAGCAGCTCTCTGTGTGAAACACAGCAGGTTCATATTCTTCTCTTTCTGGTGCAGTTTATGACTAACTAGTTCCTTTTATTTTCTGTGCTGTAAAGAAACCTTTCACTAATGATATCCTTTTCTAACACTCACCAGTGCAGTGCATTTGCTCATAAGATGAAATCTCGTTTCCCTTCATTTTTTTCTTTATTTTTTGTGCTCACCAGTTGGACAATTTGTCCCAAGTAGCACAGCTTCTTTTACCATTACAAATCTAATCTGTGGATAATGAAGTGAAAAAATGAGCTTGTGCTGAGACAGTAGAGAGTAGTTATAAAATTTTACCTTTTGTATTGTGTAAACCTAGAGCAGGAAATAAAGTTGTGAAAGTAAAGAATAGTTTTATTTCTTTGTTTCTCATGAATGAAGAACTCTGAATTTGGTGGAAGTATGGTATATGTGAGTTCATCAAGAGCAATTAATAAACCCTACTGTTTGTTGTGAATGTATATTATTTATGGGACTTGAGAGAACTAGTTTAAAAAGTCATGGCCAGTACAGTCTTTAGAAAGAGTTTTCCTTAAAGAACTAAATTAAACAACTTAAAAAAAATAATAATTTTTGAAGGTGATCAAAAAACTCCCTTGAGACATTCATAATTATTCACCAGAAACTCTTAATTATAACAGTGAGAAAAAGGTTTTTCATTAATTAATATTTATGATTTTTGACAGTGGAAATCTGGTGGACAAACAGAAGGGTTAGAAGAAGAAGAATTCACTTGTGACTTTTCATTTGTCTGTTCCACCCAAAGAATATGATTGCCCTGCAAAGAACCACTTCATAAAGTTGACATAATTTCCTCTTTTCCTAAACAACAGATGCCAGCCAAGTATAATTAGGGAAAGATTTGCTTTTACTTCTTCCAGGTTTTAAAGTTAATCTTCTTTCAGCTAAAACTAGATCAGATATTGATTCTCAATTTATACTTTTCAAATTTAAATGGAGAATGAACACATGCTCTGTATAGTAATTGAGCTGGAGAGACCTTTAACATCCAAAGTATTGATTAACATTTGCTTGTTTATGCACAATTGATTGCAAACTGCAGTTAAGTCTCCTTATTCTGAAACACTCAGGTTTTATTCTGTATGATGTTAGGACTTGCATACTAATAACTGTGAGATAATGATTTTGTCCTGTGTCTTTATCAAACACACGTGCCATTGGCAAAGCAGAAGATTTTCACTTTTGTCAAGCTTGCAGTTGTTAAAAAGGTTGAGATTATTTTTTATTTGATTTGGTTCAGTTTGTTTGTTTGGGTGTTTTTGTTTTTGGTTATTTTTTTTTTTTTAGAAACAGCAGTATTTAATGTGATTGCACATTAAATATGATTGCAAAGATCTGTGCTGACATAGGTCTAAGGGAAATAAAAAGCATGTGCTGAAATTGTAGCTTTGTACTAAGACAAAGACTAGGATGTGCCAGTTGTTATCCATGCAAATCATAGGGAGTGAACTGTGAACCATTTCCCAGTTTTTTTCTCAGAGGTTGGGTTAGAAGTGAGCAAGTACAGCCACGTGAAAAACATTTATACCCTGATAGTCTCATGAAATACTGGGGCGGGGGGTGGGGGAACAACAAAAAAAAAGTAAAAGTGCTGCTCCAGTGCTGATACTTTTACACACAGTACAAGGAGAAGAATTTTTTAGAGATATGCTGTTCTCACATACAGAGTTGATCCTGTTACAGTTCCAGTAAGTGGTGCTTGTTGCATTAACCTGAACGTGGTGTTTTTCATTGGCAGATAATTGTGATGCTCAGTTGGTGTCTGCTTTGCCTCAGTCATCATTCAGCAGTTCTTCAGAGCTGTCCAGCAGCCACAGCCCTGGGTTTGCAAGGCTTAATCGAAGAGAGGGTGAGTGCATTTTACTGATTGATCGTTTTTAATTTTTTTTTAATATAATATTTTTAAGAATTTTTTTACCTGGGCACAATGTTAAAATGATGCATAACTGGATATGGTCCAAATTTTTACTAAAGTGAAGGAAACTTGCCTGTTATTTTATTATTTATCTTAAACCTCTACACAAATCTTCTGAAATCTCTGTTTAGGTTTCAGTCATATTTACTAATTAATCATATATTTTCACTCTTTTTGGCCAATTATAGGAATTTTTTTAAGTTAAATGCAATTAAAATTAGATAGCATTGCTATTTTTATCTTTTTTGATGTAGCTAAAAGGTTTAGACACTTAGGTATCTGTCAGAATCTCTTGAGATTAACCATTTTACCTGAAGTTTAGAGGTAAATCAAATATTATACATTGTGTCAAGGATACTGTAGGAATAAGAGATTATGATTTTCTTTTAACTATAGTAAACATGTTCTCCATTCCTAGTGATGACACTCCTACTATATCTTCTGTGTGAAGAGCACCTATTCAGAAGTTTTTTGACCATGTCTGTTAGATTACATAAAATCTGTCAAAAAATATTTAGACTGTCATTGCACATTAGACTTTGTGCTGTGCTTGTGGTCTATTTTTAACAATTAATTGTTAAAAAAACCCCAAACATACAAGTACATTGAACATTCAAAAGCTAAAAATACTGAGAAATCTCAGTCATCAATCTCATTAAGTATCCAAGAGCTCAGTCATTTCTGACTCATTAACATCCTAAAGGCAATTTTTCTCCTTTTTTCCCCAGCATACCAGCGAGGCTCTTGGTTTTAACATCACAGTGCTACTGCTAAGGAGTAATAATTATCTTTAGGGAGGATTTTGTGTTGTTACTGGTAAACAAAATCCCACTTGTTGACACCCTGAAGAAAGAAAATTCTCTGTTTTAAAATTATGGCTCTTAAAACAGCTAAACTCTGGGTTAAAATAAAAACAATTTAGATGTGCAAGAGTGTACGTTACAGTTTCGGATAATTTCTGTCTGGTGTCTGTAAACCAACCAGGAACCACAGTGTAGTCTAAATTCAAGTTACAAAGCTCAATTTCCCACCTATGGTAAGTTGTTAGACTACATGAGGGCTCAGTGGCTGCTCTGTGGGCTTATTGAAGAAGGAGCTCCTATGGATGCTGTCTTTTATGTAATTATTACTGACAAGGAGTCTGATGAATAAACTGATTCAAAGCTTCAATCTTGGGAGACTTCACTGAAATACTGTGTCTTAGGTCAAGACGTAGTCTTAATAATTCAACATTAATACAGGTGATGAGAACAGTGGTGGATATTCAGAGACATCCAATTCCCCTCGTATATTCAACTAAAATATTTTACATTAATTTATATAATAGAGAAGTATATAAATTAAATCCTAAGGATATTTTGCACTGCCAAAAGTATTACTGTCCTTGGATCTCTGTGATTTATTGGAATATCTGCTGCAAACTGATAGATATAGTGGAGAAGGAATATCCCGAACTATTTAGTTATCCTAGTGTACAGATTTGATAAATATAAACTTCCGTTTTGAATGAAGTTGTGATATCAATGAAAATTGTGTGACCTGGAAGGACTTGCCTTCAATAACATAATCTTAAATAAATCAGTTTTAACTTGGATTTTATTCTTTATTTTTCAGTGAGAGTACAGATTCAGTACTTGCTATGGAACCAGGAATACCTTTTCTGCACTGTATTTGTATTTAACTATTTTCTGTGAATTTTCAAGGGTAAACTGAAAATCTGTAGGTATATATACATGAAAGCTTTATTTGGATGGAACAAAGCTAGTCATTGTACATACATGGTTTTAAACAAAAACATTTAGCCACACTAGAAATGACTGCTAAACTATGTAGACTGGTAGACTGGGAAAAAAAAGTCTTTTATTAGGGAAATATTGTATTTCTGTGTTGTCAGTGATGTCATAGAAGCAATGAACACATCATTACAGTTTCAGAAGAAATTGTCTGGTAATTGAAAGTGGATAATTCACAGATAGTTCTCTACTTTGAATAAAACCAAATCATTTATTCATCTCCAATTAGTGGTTTTGAGTGACTGTGACTTTCTGACATTCATTTACGATAAGCAGACTGTGGTTCTAACCTAATAATATCTTTAGTCCTCAAAATGCCAAGACTAGGGAAATTTGAATGCAATTTAGACAGGAAAAAGTTGAGTGTGTTTACACTGATTATTTAGGAGTCTAACTTTTGTCATCAATAAAGAAATAAACCAAATATGCATATAAATGACACTGTTTCAGTTAGCAATGAAAAGTTTAAAAGTAGCAGGAACTTTATCAGGAATGTGGAAAGTTACACTGAAATGGTTCTTGGACCGTGTAGCTTTGTGTTTACTAAATGTGGAAAATTGATAGGGAAAGTTAAAGGGATTGAGGAGAGACCATAAATAACCATTTTAACTGTGGTTAAAAAAAAAAAAAGAAAGTACAAAGTATATTTTGCATGAAGACATAATAAAAATTCTGAGAGCAGAGACGGATTAGTAGAACAGCTAACTGAGAATATGTTTCAGTTCTCTGTAAGGAAAAAGATAATGTGATTGAAATCCATGATAACAAAAATATTTCCAGTCCATTAGCAGTTAAGGAAAGTGATAACATCCAGAAATAACTCATTAAATGTTCTTCAAAGTTTTAATTATTACTAGTTCATTGATTTCCTGGAGTTTTGCAGATATTCAGTACTTCAGCACAGCTAATGAATGCTGCCAACTGCTAAGTAGTTACTCTGACGTCAGCTTTGTTTGCAATAACAGAAAAGTAGAGAGAAAAATCAAGTAACAAGAACTAAGTAAAAAAAATAACCAAATACTAATAGCAGTTAAATATTTTTACAATGGAAAAATAAATTTTATAAATCTCTGATTTGATTATTTCAATATAGTAGACATAAATGCAGGGTTTTCATATATGTGGACATTGACTTTTGGCCCAATGTCGTATGACTTTCTAATTTTAAGTACTAGCACAATATTGGTACAGTCCAAATTGGGTGTATTAAGATCTAGCTGGTTCACTTCAAAAAGCATTCATTATTCCTGTATAAAGGTGTTTCCACAGAATTTCAAAGGAAACTCTAAGGCCAACTTTGTTCAGTCCTTTTGTTGATTATACACAAGCAAACACAAATCCATAGTGACAAGAACCATAAATGCCAGTACCTAGGCTGGACCATCAAGGATGTGCTTCTGTGCACACAGAGAGAGGGTTGTGTCACTGCTGAGCTCAGGACCTTCTGATTTTGTCTGCAGTGGGATGAGTATCTCACACTGGTTGTACATACACTCTTCAACCTGAGGCGACTGAAGGCCCACACCAAGATCTTAAACCATCTTGTCCAGGAGCTGCTTTATGCTGATGACGCTGCCCTTGTTGCCCACACAGAAGCAGCTCTGCAGCGTTTAACATCCTGCTTTGCAGACACTGCTGAGCTCTTTGGGCTGGAAGTCAGCTTAAAGAAGACAGAAGTTCTCCATCAACCTGCACCTCAGGAAGTCCCCCATCATCCCCATATCACCATTGGCAATCAGAGCTCAAATCAGTCCAGCAGTTTAATTCCCTAGGCAGCCTCATCTCCTCGGATGGTGAGATTGACGGGGAGACAGACAACAGGTTAGCAAAGGCATACAGTGCCTTCAGAAAGCTTCATAAAAGAGTTTGGTGAAATAAACACCTGAAGAAAAGTACCAAGGTCAGTGTTTACAGAGCCATAGTGCTGTCTGCTCTCTTATAGGGATCTGAATCCTGGGTCATCTACCGCCACCACCTGCGACTCCTCGAACGCTTCCATCAACGCTGCCTCCGAACAATCCTAAACATCCACTGCTCAGATGATGTGACCAATCCATCTGTTCTAGAACAAGCAGCAGTCACAAGCATTGAGGCCATGTTGCTGAGAACACAGCTGTGCTGGGCAGGGCACGTCTGCAGGATGAAGGACCAACCACCCCCTCCCTAAGATCTTGCTTTATGGTGAACTTGTCACCGGCTGCTGCAAGAGAGGAGCCCCAAAGAGGAGATACAAGGACTGCCTGAAACAACATCTCAGCCTTGGCCATATTGATCATCACAACTGGTCTACTCTGGCCTCCAATCAGGAGCTCTGCAGACACACCATCTATAACGCTGCTGATGCCTTTGAGAACGCAGCAGGATCACCCTTGAGGAGAAAAGACAACGCAGAAAGAATCGTGTCTTGCAGAATTTACCACCTAAGGAGTCTTTCTGCTGTGCCTTTTGCAACAGGACGTGTCTGTCTCGTATTGGCCTTTTTAGCCACCAACGTGTTTGTAACAAACGTGGGTAGAGCCCTTCCCAAATCTTCGTTCCCGAAGCCTGGCCATGATGTACACACACTCTAGGTCTCCATTCCTTTCCCACTGGAAAAGATTTAATAATTGCACTATGAGCCTTTATACCCAAGAATGCAGCAGACCTTCTTTTGAATTAATGAACTTTTGCAACCTTACAGGTAAAAAATTAAGAAGACAATTATTCCACAGGAGCGCACACACCACTGGAAGAGCCTTCATATTTGGGCAGCTAAATAAGCTAGATAAGGATTTGGCTGTTATTATCTTGCCCCATATTCACACACAATTATTTGATCAAAATATGACAGAAGGAAATTGAATATAGCAGTTGTTAAATAGCCAAAAAACCTGGCTTACAGCTTTCTCCTTCCCTGAAGTAGGAAGAAACCCATGTATTTTAATTATGCTGTCAGCTTACATTGCCAGTTTTTCAGAATCACCCTGAAAATTTGAATGCATTAACAGCTACCTAGTCTGTTTTTTTTTCTAGTGTGTATATGGAGCTTCTTTGTCTTTTTAATTAACCTTTACCTTACTATTTCACTGAATATCAAACTTATCTTATTGCAGTCATTTTATTTCAAAGAGCATTTAAAAGATAGTTTGTTAAATTTGGTAC